CGTATTTAAAACAGACTTTAGTTTATTAAGAGCACCTACATCGTCTATAACCTCTATGAGTTGCTTATTTATATTAAAATAATAAAAATAATATAATTTAGTTAGTTAATTAAATAATAAATTGCAAAAAGAAAAAGCAACCAATCATAATAGAACATTTGTCAAAAAAACGTTCTTTATAAAAGTATGGGAGGCTCTTAAATAAAGAGTATAAACATCGTTTCTCATTCTACTTTTGTATTATTTTTAATTTTTTTATTATTAAGAAACTATAGTTAAAACTTCGGATGGAGACGGACTGATCATCATCACTTGAAACCTCTCGTTTTTTTTTTTTTTCCAAAAACCTCTCGTCTTACACTACATTTATCTTAACATAATATAAGACTCTTTGATTTATGAAAGCGTTTTTGTTAAGCCTTAGGTAGGTGTAGCATAAAAAAAAACATAATTCATCAACCATTTAACATTTTACACGCCATTACTCTATAGTACTCATTTATAATCATAATTCAACTGTCAACATCGGCTCGTGGGTGGCATTTGGCATTGGCATTAAATAAATTAAGATTATAAGCTATAATGTTATAGGGGGAAAAAATATATTTTTGGCAGGACCAAAGAACGAATTTTGTGGTACGTTTCTTTATTACTGGTAAGATTTGGGCCTTCTTGAATAGAATCCAAGGGCCTTTTAAATAGAAAACGAATTTTAGTTTTTCAACAAACAATAACCTAATGGGTTTTTTCTTCCGTTGCTCACAATCTTCTCAAATTGGCATTTGGCAGTCCTAAACGATCAAGACACGTTTCTTTAGTTTGTCAACAAACAATAACCTAATGGGGTTAAAAAAAAAATGTTTAAGATTTATACCGAAAAGTTTATAGATTATATAACCTAAGAAGGTACTCATTACTGATTCCTTGGTATACTATTTTTCTAGACAAAAGTAGTGTAATTTCGAATTAGAACGAAAGGGTTTAGCTAGTCCATACACCTCTTCGAGAAATTTAGGGTTTGATTATTAGTAATTTCCAAGAGACACGTGTGGTGTGTTGTTTCATGGTAATTCTACGTGCTTGTGTATATTCTGTTGTCAGTGCATATATATACACACATGAATGAATTTGATGAAATTTCGTTATGTTTTTGATAAGGAGGAATCAAAGCATACTCTTGAGGTAGTAAAGCTATATATTTGTGTTTCAGGTGGGACATGGAATTTGAGAAAGAGCCAATTCAACACGTCGAATCCCCAATTCGATAATGTCGAGGTATCAAATCCTCTTGGTGCTGTCTGGATAAGGAATAACATTTTAGAACATATGTGTTTTTGACTTGTTCCTTGGACCTTCTTTAATCTTTCTAAGGTATCCTCTGATGAAGATGGGCTAAGAACTCTCAAGCTTCACGATATG